GGTGGTGGTAGTACTGGGGCTTGAACTCAAGGCCTGCATACTGCCCTCTAACTTTTTTGCTCAAGGTTGGCTCTCTGCCACTTGAGCCACAGCTCCACTTCAGGCTTTTTGCTGGTTAATTGGTGATAAGGGTCAGTTGGACTTTCCTGCCCCTGGCTGGACCCTGGAGAGGTTGTTCTGGGCACCACAGTATCCGTGTTCGCCTGGGAATCTGATGCCTGGCCTGAAGCCAACGCAGTTTCTTTAAGTGGTCACTGGTCAAGAAGGCTGGATGACCAGGGTTTGTCTAGCGTTGTTAGGAGCCAGGTTGTGGTTTGGGAGCGCCCAGCTTCACAGCCTCTGCTGTGCCCGGGGAGGCGGGCCTGGGACGGGCGGGGGCGAGGCGGGGGCGCCGGGCCAGCTGGATCGCCGCCCAAGGATTGGCAAGGCCGCCTGTCCCCGCCCTCTCCCCGCCCCCGCGGCACTGGGCTGGAGTTGGAGTGGCGCCTGCAGTTCCAAGCCGCAAAGGCGGGCACAGCTCCTGCGGAGCGCTCGGAGCCGGCTGGAGCGCACGGTATCTGCCAGGAGGAGCCAGAGCAGGGCCAGTCCTGGACTGGAGGGAGGTCCTGGCCGTCCTGAGCGCCCCTCGATCGGCAGGAATGTGATCAACGTGTGCCTGTGCCCAGGAGCACCCACTTCTAGGCTCCCAGGGCTCAGCCTTGCCCAGCTCGGCCATATGGGCTTGAGGCTGTGATCCCACACTCTCGACTGAACACCAGGGGCACGCCCAGGTAGGAGAAAACTGGACAGTTCCGGGGGTGGGGTGGGTGGGTGGGGCGACAGTGGCCTTGACACATACAAGTGTCCTAAGTTGCCCTTGGTTGTGAAAGTTTCCTGGGTACAGAGGTGATGAGGGGATCGTGGTTAGAATCCCTCTGTTCCTGTCTCCGGCTGGGCTGTGTCTGTGTCTCTGTCTTTGTCTCTGTCTCTCTGTCTCCCTCCCCCCCCCCACACACACACAACTCCCCTCCTCTCTCTGTAGTAAACGTTATTCAGATTCTTTTAGGGAACTTGTTAGTATTTCCTGGAGTTTGTTCTAGGGGGCTAATGCTCCTTGTTTAAATTACTTCCAGACCTGGGCAAGTTCAACTAGTTCAGAGTGTCCCTCTTAGGGCTTGAAGCTCAGAAGAGACAGTGTCTTTAACAAGATAAAAAAAATTAATGTTTTAAATACACTGCATAGGGTTACTTGACCTTTAAGAGAAAGGCTAATTCTGGGTGACAGAGTTACAAATAGGGAGTCCACCAAGAGGATACATGGTTTACAAGCATGGCAAAGCATAGCATGTTACAGTTTATAAGGCCCTTTGTACATACTGCCTTTTATCCTCCCAGCAGTCCTGTGAGGAAGGGAGCAATGATCAATCCGGTTTTCCAGCCAGAGGAAGCAGGCTTAGCCAGGAGCTTTCCTTATTGGTGGACAGGAGCCCAGAAGGAGATGAAGACCCTTGGGGTTCAAACCTTGTTATGCCCCAACCAATCCTTGCCTCCCAGAACTTTCTCCTCTACTTGCCACGAGGTTTAAGAGGCTACTTAAGAGTGGGTGCAGTCCCCACTCCTGCCCCGGGCGGGCCTCTGCAGGGTCTGCTGAGTCAAGGGATGATATTAGTTCCATTCTGTGGTTTTAGCTCCACATATGGGAGCTAAAGAAATCAATTGGTTCTTTGGAGAAAAGATGAACCAAGATCCACTTGCCACTGGTATGTGGTGTCTGGGTCATCCTGGCTTAGTGCCAAGCTCCTGGGAGGGGAATTGTATGAATGGAACTCCATGACTGTGAGCTAGGGAAAGCCAGAGCAGTGCTGGGAACAATCTCTACCTCTCTCCTCACCTCACCTATTAAGCAATGGTTTGATATTGTATTTAACATTTCATATTCCTATCCTGTACTAAGTTTTGTCTAGGCAGAAACACAGTACTTTGACAATGAGATTTGATGGGGGGCAAAGGATGTTAGAAACTGGATTGGTTTTTCAGTCTCTGGAAGAGCTGCCATTCTGTTGTATGGGAAATACTGTGGCTCACTATTTGGTGCCAAGAAAGAACATTTGAGTTGAATTTTCATATGACCAAGGCAGTACAAGACTGAACTTCCCATTTCTAATAGACTCTGCAGTGCCCTGTGTTGTAAAGCAACACTAAGATTCTTTATGGTCTGAAGTATGCCATATCTTTTGAGTAAATTGTTCGCCATTGTGAAACACTACTCAATATTAGGTTCTTTATTTATTAAACATATGCCTATTGAATGCCTGTTAGGTGCCATATACTGAAATATGTAAGACTCTGCTTATGTACTTGAGTTCTCTTGGCAAGTCACAGGATATTGCGACTTGTGGGCTCTTGCTTTATTAGGGGGTTCTTTGAAGTTGGCCTCTTGACAAAGAGTGGGTATGGGTTGCCTGGAAGACTCTAGTCAGCATCTCCAGAGGAAACTAAGGTCAATGGTCACAAATGAAGCTTAAAGAATAATAAGAGTGGCCAGGCACTAGTGACTTATGCCTAGAATCCTAGCTATTCAGGAAGCTGAGATCTGAGGATTATAGTTCACCAGACCAGGCAGGAAAGTCCATGAGACTCTTATCTCCAAAGAATCAGCAAAACAATAGAAGTGAAGATGTAGCTCAAGTAATAGAGCATCAAATTTGAATGAAGAAACGTAATGTGAGAGTGCTAGGCTTCGAATTCAAGCCACAATACTGGCATGAGCATGTGTGTATGACATGAGTATAGAATAGCAGGAGTGCTTAGGTATTTGCCATGACCGGATTATTCCCCTGAGTTAGGGCATATTGAACACTTGTGGGGTACATGAAAGAGGTGAGTGTCGTTTATAGAGGGAACATATCATGAGTCAAAAGGACAAAATGCACCATTGTCATGGAGCTGCTGTAGCATAGCATAGAACATGGGAGAGCACAGTGATCCTCAGATTCTTATGCTATATGATGATTCCATTATGAACTTGCCTCTTTAGATGAGAGAGGTTGTCAAGGGCATCTGACTTGCTGGCTATAGCCAGAGCCCACAATGCTACCCATGTATGGCTGTAAGTGGATGCTTGGCTTGCATTTTCCTCTCTCTGTGGTTGGTAGGTGGGTTGGTGGTATGCGAGGGGGATCTGCAATGTTGGTATTCTCCTCTGCCATGACCCTAGGAAATGCCGCCATAGGCTTTTATCTGTACCTAGCACCACAGACCATTCAGAGAGGCCCCGGCACCAAGAGATCTCACCAAGTGTTGACAGAGGATGAAATTCTTCAAGGTCCCTTGTTTTGGTCCCTCGGATTGTGTGCTATCTCTTTCTTATACATGCACACGTATGTGTGACAGGATAATGTTTCAACAAGGATTTATAAAATGCCATAAATTGGAAAGTGGGAAAAGTAAAAACAAAGAGGGTGAAATATGCCCTATTAGGATATTAAACCTTAGTTAGGGATGCAGGTCAGTAAGGCTTGATCTCTCTCTCTTTTTTTTTTAGCTGTTTTTATTTTTATTGTGAAAATACCGTACAGAGGGGTTACAATTACATGGGCAAGGTAAGGAGTACATTTCTTATCAAGCATTGTTGCCTCCTCCTTGTTTCCCCTTCCCATCCCTTCCCATCCCTGTCCCCCTCCCCCAGGACAAAGTTGTAAAGTTCATTTTTCGACATAGCGACTTGTACATCTCATTGTTGCAATGGGTCCACCTGTATCCCTATTTAAACCATTTATTTTTTCCCTTCCCCTCCACAAATTATACCAACATCAAATACAGTGAAAGCAGGGGCTATATCGTGGGGGAGGGACCTACAAAGCAACAAAAAAAATCATCTTACACATATGTTAGAAATAATCACAAGAAAGAAAAACCATTTGAATCCTTATCTTGGCGTTCATTTCACCTAACATCAACTTATCTGACCTTTTCTGCTTAAGACTTGATCTCTAGCCCTGGAAAACAAACTAACGTAACTCATGATGACCCAGATTAGGTGTAAAAATTGAAGGAAGATTCATCCCTGCCTGAATCTTGACATTGCCACAGACTCTCTGAGACAGGCAGGCTTGGGTGTGGGACAGAAAAACTAGCATCTCTGGAGTGTGTCAGGCATTTGTAAAGCCCCCAGACAGTGTTAGCATGATAACCAGATTGGCAACACAAATATGCTTTCTTGCAGGCACTAGGAAGGAAGGAACCTGGGAGTGCTCAGCTGTTAATGGCTTCCAGTTGAAAGTGACATGCTTGGGAAAGATAGAAACATTCTTGATTCAAGTTAAAGTGGGAGCTTTCTCTTGGACGTCCATAACCAGGGGGTGGAGAGCATGTTCTGCTATCTGGTATGATGTACACCAGGGCTCTAGAAGGTGAGGTCTAGGCAGCCTGCACTCTGCACATCTGACCTCCCCTATCTGAGAGCAAGATATCTGAGAGGAAAGCAGTGACTCCAAAGGGATCTAGAGGTATATAAGAAGTTCATGCTGTCATGTCCACAAGCCCTTTTCACTTTACTACATATTTAGCCCCTTCCTGGAAATATTTTTAAATGACATCCTGTCTACCAATCTGAGATGATATAATAAAACTTGTTCACAATATGATTTAAAAAGTCAACGTAACATCTAGGTGTAAAGAAAAACAAAAAACAATTCGTATGAAAAGTCTGTAATTCATCTGGGTGCTGATAGCTTACACCTGTAGTCTTAGCTACTCAGGAGGCTGAGATCTGGGGATTGTGATTCAAAGCCAGCCTGGACAGAAAAGCCATGAGACTCTTATCTCCAATCAACTACCAGAAAACTGGAAATGGAGCTGTGGCTCAAAGTGGTAGAGGGTTGGCCTTGGGTTAAAAAGGTCAGGAACAGATCCTTGAACTCAGGCAGTGAGTTCAAGCCCCATGACTGACAAAAACAATTATAATTCAGATGTAAATGGTTGGTCTGAGCCCTCTGGAACCTAGTAAGGTGGCCACTAGTTTGTGTAGATGTACTACAGGATGGCCTGGGACATATTCAAGTGCATCCTGGAACAGATGGGGCAGTGGCTGTACAAATACTGCTAAAGATGCTTCACTCTCGCTATGGTCTAAATAGGAGTCAAAGGCAAATCAACTCTCAATTGTAACCACAGTTGCATTTCTAAAATATTTGGTATGTGTGGAAATATGTTATAATATGTACTTTTGTGTGTATATATCAGTACTAGGGCTTGCTATTTCACTCAAGGATGGAATTCTACTACTTGAGCCATACCTCCACTTCTGGCTTTTCTGCTGGTTAGTTGGAGAGAAGAATCTCATGGAATTTTCTCCTTTGGCTGGCATTGAATTCTGATCTTCAGATCTCAGCTCAGATTATAGGCATGTGCCATTAGTGCTCAGCCTATGATATGTATTCTATATAAATGTGGAATAGAACTAGTGGCTGGCTTGCACATATTCTATATATATTTCCTTCTTTCATGAAGGTCTGTGGGATCTATGGTGGCCATTTCAGGCAAGGAATGAGTCTCTACTGAACAGAACTTCCTTGCCTTATTACAGGTGTCCAGAAGCATGGCTTTCAGCACTCACTGGGTGCATGATCATCCAAAGTGCCCCCTTCCCTATATTTTGTGAAATGCTCTTTTTGAGACCAGGCCCTTCCCTGCTAAGAACTGCTCCCTTGTCTGTATGACTCGGTAGTGAGTGGTCAGAGCACTTGTGCACACTTGGGACCTGAAGTAGCAGGGCATTTGTAGGTAGCAT